GAATAATCTCAAGAACGGTAAAAGATATCACTGTGAAACTTTCAGGGATTATAGATCGTGATAAGTACTATCCAAGACACGATCTTTTGTACGTCGTCTCTACTTCCTGTCGTAACGGCATGCAAAGAAAAAAAAGTCGAATTTTTCAACTTTTTTGTTTTTCAATATTTTCAAATTATATTTGTATGGCTGATAGAAACATATCTCATTAGGCTGAATATGTAATTTGTTTGTAAATTGATAAATTCAAACTCGAGATATTAACATTCAAAAATATGAAGCGGGATCAAAATGGCGGCGGTCTTTGTCAATTCCGACATTTCGCAATAGGGGTTTACAGAGGCAGCCGAGCGTTTGCTTGAACGAAAGTTACATAAGGAACAATGAAATGTGTAGGGATACTTGGATTCTCACGTCGTAGGTTCGTTGCAATTCGGTGTCAAACTACATTTATTATCCAAGGTCTACTTACAAGTCTTCTTTAATTGGTTTTGGTTGGTTCTCAAAGTAGAAATAGAAAAGAATTAATGTGCAAATGAAGTACAATATCTATATCTTTTGTTTTGCATCACGGTAACACATAGCTTAAATCATAGTTATAATTGATAGTTTTTCAAGAATGTAGTAAGTAAAAAACGTGACCACTGTTTTCTAATGCACACTTGTGTCTTATTGAATCAATAGAAAGGACAACTGTTACAATAAGAAAATATTTTATTTTTAAAGATAACAATTTTTCAAAGACCGTTTAATTGACCTATATAAATATTTTATTTTCTCAATGCAAGTTATTGAACATAATGGAATCTTATTTCTTGACCCTCGTAGGGCGATCGAGGCATTTTTTTTCTGTGAAACATGCCATCTTTTTCATGAAAGTGTAAGTAATCGGAATAGTCAACTTTCGTGATTGAAAATTGAAAAATTAACCATTCATAGCTGTTTCACTGCTTTAGTGTTATTTGCCTATATACGATTGATTGATTGATTGTATACTGTTTATCGTCTCTCTCCAGAATATTTCACTGATATGGAGACGGCACCATTGCCGGTGAAGGGCTGCAAATTTGGGCCTATGCTCGGCACTCAGGGCCATTGAGCAGGGAGGGATCTTTATCCTGCCACACCTGCTGTGACACGGGGCCTCGGTCTATACCGTCTCATTCGAAGACCATGAACATTCCAAGAGAAATTCGCTAAGATTTACTCGTTGCGATTGGCGCGAAATTATGAATAGTGACCCTTCTTTCGTAATTCCAAGACAGATTAACTGTTGCAGAATTATATGTACATACAAGTGAAGAAAGAGTAGTTGTTCAAATAGCGTAATCGATAAGCGTATTGGATTTTCACGCTAGTGACCCGTTACAATTACCAGTGTGTGCAAAATATATTTAATCTATTTTCAGCTCGATTTTATGGGTTATTTTCCGGAATCGGACGGAAGACCTACTCGTTGCTCGCAACGAGATCGTTTCTAGTTATTATTATTTTTCTTCTTCTTCTTCCTGGGTACTTTTTTGTCCGGGAATGATCTTGTAAACTGTACGTCCGATGTAGGTAAAACCTTTTTAGGGTCAGTAGACATGTTACGTAGATTTGCGGAATCAAGGTCATTTTGCGCGCACGTGCTTGCAAGAGCGTGCACGTGCAACACGTGAAATGACCAATATAATGGATATTGCCGTAACTTTTCTATTTTTTGATGAAATTTTTTGAAACTCATAATGTAAGGATACATTAGTAATATAGACAAGATGACATGGTCAAAATAGCAAGATCTCACGCGCATGCACGTGCGCTTCGCTCTGATTGGCTGAAACTAAAGTCTCAATATCTTTCTTGTTTTTTGACAAAATCCTTTGAAATTTTGAACATAGCCATGCATTAGGATATCCTACAACATAATATATAGCAATTATCATAAAAACACGTGCATGCACGTGCGCTGCAATCTGATTGGCTGAAACTTTAAATAGCTATAACTCACGTGGTTTACAACGAAACGGGGTGGGATTTGGATCATAGATAGATATAATGGACTTCTACAAGAAGGTATGGTCACCATGCACATGCATGCACGTGCGTGTACATGCGCTGCAATCTGATTGGCTTAAACTTTAAACAGCTATAACTCCCTTGGTTTACAACCAAACGGGGTGGGATTTAGAACATAGATAGATGTAATGGACTTCTACAAGATGGTCATGCTCATGTATGCACGTGCGTGCACGTGAAAAGAGTAAAATAACAAATACACTTAAATAAGCGTATTTTTTAATACTTTTGGATTAAATACTTTAATATTTAGTATATCAAAATATATAGATTGTGTAGACAAGATGATATGGTCATTACGCACATGCATTCACATGCGCAAGCGTGCAATGCTTAAATTTGAATGAACTTGGTACACTTCTGGGTAAACGTTGTTAAAGTCTTAAATGCATAGAGTTTGTCCTATTTAATGAAGCCTCCAGGGAACATGGCACCAAAAGGGAGTTGGGGAGCGTTTGGGGAACATCTGTAACGGTCCCCGTTACAATTAGCACTAGTTATTATTATTTTTCTTCTTCTTCCTGGGTACTTTTTTGTCCGGGAATGATCTCGTAAACTATACATCCGACTAAGGTGAAATGTTTTTAGGGTCAGTAGACATGTTATGTAGATTTGCGGAACGAAGGTCATTTTGCGCGCACGTGCTTGCAAGAGCGTGCACGTGCAACATGTGTAATGACCGATTTAATTGATATAGGTGTAACTTTTTAAATTTTTGATGAAATGCTTTGAAACTTATAATATAAGGATATATTAGTAGCATAGACAATATGACATGGTCAAAATAGCAAGAACTCACGCGCATGCACGTGCGCTTTGCTCTGATTGGCTGAAACTAAAGTCTCAATATCTTTCTTGTTTTTTGACGAAATCCTTTGAAATTTTGAAAATAGCCATGCATTAGGATATCCTACAACATGATATATAGCAATTATCATGAAAACACGTGCATGCACGTGCGCTGCAATCTGATTGGCTTAAACTTTAAATAGCTATAACTCCCTTGATTTTCAACCAAACAGGATGGGATTTGGAACATAGATAGATATACTGGACTACTACAAGAAAATATGGTCACCATGCACATGCATACACGTGCATGTATGTGCGCTGCAATCTGATTGGCTGAAACTTTAAACAGCTATAACTCCCTTGGTTTTCAACCAAACGGGGTGGGATTTAGAACATAGATAGATGTAACGGACATCTACAAGAAGGTATGGTCACCATGCTCATGTATGCACGTGCGTGCACGTGAAATGAGCAAAATAAAAAAAACACTTGAATGAGCGTATCTTTTTAATACTTTTGGATTAAATACTTTAATATTAAGTATATTAAAATATATAGATTGTGTAGACAAGATGATATGGTCATTACGCACATGCATTCACATGCGCACGCAAAATTTGAATGAACTTGGTACACTTCTGGGTAAACGTTATTAAAGTCTTAAATGCATCGAGTTTGTCTTATTTAATGAAGCTTACAGGGAATATGGCACCAAAAGGGAGTTGGGGAGCGTTTGGGGAACATCTGTAACGGTCCCCGTTACAATTAGCACTAGTTAGCAATGCCTTTGATTGCAAATAATTGAAAGTGATAACTTATACACAAAAACTATACTTGGAAACCGCAAGCGCTTTATGTAAACATGATACTGGCCTTCGTCCTCAATTGCATGGGAAGGCAAACTCTCTTATGCACGCGGTGAAGCAGCACAGGTGTACGCCGGCTGGACCTAAAACGCCCAAGTCGTTGAGGTTCAGGGTCTCCCGCTGTGGCCCCAGCTGTGAAATAGCGATGCTTGCAGCAGATTCTTGCAGGATGTTCGTTATCTATCACAACTTTTTGCTGATCGAACTCTGTGTCCACTGATCATGCTGATCGATATAGAGATAGTAATCATTAAAGGTATCCGTTTGTTTGGTTCAATCAGTAACAAATAGCCTACTCTGATATCCTTTCAAAACTCAGACTGTAGGAAAAAGTTCCACGTTTGATATATCAGTAAAATCGCTCCATGTAATATGTTCTTCTCGTGAATATCTGTTCATAATTAAAGTTCATATCGGCAGAATAACATAAATATATGTACACCAAGTGTATCATATAGTAATCAGGTAATATCTTTGATAACCCAAGATAAATATACTTCAAAAAAAACGTGTCATTGTTACAAATATGTTACATACTGGAATACAAAACAACAAAAACCCATTTAATCGTGTTTTTTTTTTTTTTTTTTTTTTTTTTTTTACATACGGTGGTAATATGGTACTCCGATCCTCAGCCAGGAAGGATAACTCTAAATTTATAACTTAAATTCAAAAAGATCAAAAGGAAGCTTGAAAATTAAATATTTTCATGCAACAATTTTCATTTTATACCTATCAATGTGCTTCAAGGTACCTTGAAGTTCTCAGAAAGGTCTTATAAAAAGTCGAATTTTACCAATTGCCATACATACCAATTTTTATTAACATGATATGAAATTAAGTGTTTAATAATGATGTTTTGCAATGGTCGGAAAATCTTTATACACTATGCATTGTAGAATGACCAAAGTAAATAGATGAAATAAAAGTACCTTCTATGTACATGTATAAGAATTTTGCAATTTCAAAGCCTGGATACCTCTTATTTTTATTTCTAAAATGTGTTTGTTGATCAAATTTATATTGGAAAATGCATAGTACATGTAGGTGTTTTTATTTGTATTTCCTGAAAATTTGAGATTTACTAATTCTCCCTATATAATATGATTAACTTTACAGATGATATTTGAAGAATTATCGTGGGTAAAACACATTACTTTAAGAATTCAGAGATATTTTTGTGAGCATTTTCAATTAGTCAATGGCTGATTTTCAGAACCCGAAGATCGAAGTACCTTTAGGTAGATTTTTTTATTTAAAGTTAAATATTCATTCTATTTGCAGAGACAGCCTTTAGTATCAAAATTGGAACAGAGTCATGAAGTATTAAAATTCACAATTGAAGAGGAAGCAAAAAAGAACGGTATTGTCTCTTAATTTACAAACCAATAAGAGTTCATCGAAATATATCCAGCTGTCGTTGGATTTCCATTGGTATTGTAATTATTGTCATATACTGATAAAGCTACCTATTGTAGGGTCGTAATTGTAATACTGCAGGGATATGAGAAAACGTTGAAAGTGAAAATGAGTTATTAATGAACCATCACAGCGTTCCCTATTACTAATGGATTCCTGAGTTTGTATGTACTGCAAAACCTCGGACAACAAAAACGCCTGATTTCTTTTCCATTCCACTTTTGAGAAATAACCGTTTAGGAGAAAAATACGAAAATGACACATTTAAATACCTCAACTTATTTGACTAATATTTATGAAGCATTCACCAACCTCGACTTCAACGGATCGTCAAACGATAGTTTTCAAGCCACAGGTCCTTCCAGTACTGCTTTATATATGGGCGGTATTGTGATGCTCGTTGCTTTGTTATGGGGCTTGTTTGCCAATATACTTATTTTAGCAGTCATCTTTTCCAAGAGAGATTTGAGTAACATTATTAATATTTTCATCATTAGTCTCTGCATCAACGATATAATAAACCTCGGATTCAATAACAATCTTGTGATGTTATCGTATTTTCTGGGAAGATTTCCTACAGGTATATTAGGATGTGAACTGGCAACGCACTTTACTGTTTTGTTTATGGGGTCATCCTTATGGCATACAGGGCTTATTGCAATACATCGCCTGATAGTGGTCGTATTTAACAACTTCTACAAGAAAATCTCAAAGAAGGCCTATACTTGCTTCGTACTTGTATTTGCAAGAGTTATTCCCCTCCTATTTCTAGCACAGCCTTCTCTTGGTCAAATGGCGTATTATGAAGCAAGATTACTGAGGTGCATCGTTAAGAAGAACTATGGTCCGTATAATCTTCTCGTCATTGTATTTCTTATGATCCTCCCATCCATCATTCTTGTTGTCTGTTATATAGCTATTTTTATCAAGGTTTACCAATCATCAAGAGCATTTAGAGCTTCGCGCCAAAAAGAGTGGCTAAAGCGAGAAATCAAGATCACCAAGATGTTTGGAATGGTGTTTCTTTTGATAGTTATTGCATACCTGCCTTATGGAATAGTGAGATCCATCGACAAACAGTTACAATTAAGTGCCGATTTCTATGTGGCGATTACAGTTTTCTTTGCAATAGGTAATTGTTGTAATCCTATAGTTTATGGGGCAATGGATAAATCTATTCGCCTTGAGTGCTTCAAAATCTTTCATCTGACTAAAGACCAAGAGAAGGAAAATGGAAATGGTCATACAATTATTGCTCAAACCACTCAAATGGTCGTCGATCAAGAAGATAATGAAGAAATTCCTCTTAATACATCAACTAAGAACACACAAACCGTGGACAACTTTATAAAATGAACTAATTTGTGAGTGTAAGCGCCTGTGTAACCGTTAGTGACACTCAACCTAAAAATATTATGAACGAACTGTATTCAATAATTTTCAGATTAAAATGATATTTGTCTAAGATTTTTTGTATTCAGTGTTGTAATTATTAAAAATGAAAACCTTAAATTTAGTTTTATGCTATCTCCTGCAACGCTGTTCGATGGAAATTTTCAATGGTATATATATCTTTTTTGGCCATGAAAGCAGCAATATTTTATAAAGACTACTTAGAATGATGTGTCTGCATCCTCAGAAACACCGAGGCCCCTTTATAGCAGTTCATGGCGAGGGTTATAGTTTCAGAAATTAAAATAAACTCCAACGAAAAAAGTGCTTTCAAAGAAAGTTTTCTGATTGTTTTGTAAAGTCTCTTTTAAAAATTCCCCTTATAAACATGTACAGAAGCGTTGCAAAAAGAGGGCTTACAAAGCGAGGACTCGCCCCCGCAACAATATTTTTTCAAGTCACTGGAAAAAGTTGATTTTTCTTTAAATGTGTGAATTAATCTTTTTTTTTTAATTTCCAAATACCATTATTAAAAGAGTGAAAAATAAGTCTCTTATGAATTTAAATATTTCAAAATTCAAGTTATTCGTGTTTGCTTACCGCCCGTTCACACAGAGCTGCGACTTTACAACGATCATCCCGATCAAGCCACGATCTGAATTTTTTTTGGATCGGGGAAGATCGCAGCCGATCGGCGTCTAAAAAGAGTAATTTGGCAAATTAAAGTTTTCGTTACGACCGTACTACGATGTCCCCACGTCAAACGCGCTGCTAACATGCTTCTACTACGATGTTACGCAGACCGTTGCCGACAAGCGGCCGTGTTTACTGCGTTTACGCTACGCTGCCAATACGACAGGGAAGACCATACTACGACGCTACACAGACCTAGATGACTGTACCGCGATGTCGCTACGGTGGTGCCGATCATATTACGACTGCATTACGCTTCTACTACGATTTTGGCGATGATGTAAATAGATCTTGCAACAGCAGATTTTTGTAGTACGATCTTTGCGATGAAACATATCTTGCGACCGCAGTTTCTTTGCGGCCTTTACCACATGGTTTACGGGCATTTTCAATTGTAACTGTAATACGATGTGAAAAGTCTCAGTTGCAAATGAGTATCACACTTTAACGTAGTTTACAGATGATAATTGGTCAAATACCAGCGCTATAAGAACAAACTCTTGTCTGATGGGTCGTGCTTTGATCGGCGTAGGGTCATTGTAGGTCTTCACAGGATCATCAGGAACGTAGAGACATCGTAGTGCGAACGTAGAGGGAGCGTTGTAGGACCGTACTTGGTAAATTTCTACGCTCTTACGGCGCTTTTACTACGATCACGAAGATCTCTCTACGATTCTTCCGCGCTACTTATACGATTACGACGCTTCTACTACGCTCTTTTTACGACTTTACCCCGATTCTTTTTGGCCACGTTCCCGCTACGCTTGTTTTGAACATGTTCAAAATAAGCGTGGCGAGAGCGTAGAGCTCTCCGATCATGAAGACCCTACAGCGATCATACTGCGCTTAAGAAGACTCTACGACGTTTCTCCTGCGATTTGTCACGATCGGCCACGCTTTCGGCCATGCTTTGATCGTAGTAGAAGCGGCTTCTATGTGTGAACGACCGACTTCTCAAACAAATAAAGCTTTTGGCAGAGAAGTTGAAGATGTAAGGATATTAACAGTCTAACTAGTAATTTCAGTTAAGTGTGAAGTTTTGCATTACGTCACGATCTTTTTCGACAGATGCATCCAGCGTAAACAATTCACGCCCCCTCTGTGTGATTGGTCAACTCATATTATCAACATTGACATGGAAATAGTCTGTTGCACGTGCAACCAATCAGGGATTAGAAGAAACTTCCAGTCGTAAAGCTTGCGGTTACGAGGCGTATACTACCGTATAAGCAGAAATTTTAGCGAGGATTTAACATTGTCCTTATTAGCGAGGGTTGTGAGATCGCTAAAATTGAATATCACTAAAAATTAATAGCATTTTAGTTATAATAAAGGATTCTTTAGTGAGCTTTTTAATATCGCTAAAATTACTTCTCGCTAAAAATAAAATACCCATTTTTAAGGACAAATCGCTAAATTTGCGTCTCGCTAAAATTTCCACTTATACGGTATTTACCTTGAGCGCAGCCGTCATCATGGGTTGTGACGTAATGAAAACTGATGAAATGAAATTACTAGAATATGATAGCGCCATTTCAAAAAGTTCGAAGTAAGTTACATCAACTTTAAAATAAATTAAAGTAATGATATACTCGTATATAGAGATGACAAATTTATTCAAGTTCAAAGGTTCCATCAAACATTACAAATATTGGAGCAGAGCAAACACTAACCTCAAAAACATTAGAGGAGTAATATCAGGTGCCATGGAGGAGTGAGGATCCCCTGTCGACCGATCACACCCGCTGTGTGCTTCTTGTCATGTTCGGGAAATAACGGGAAAATTCAGTGTGTAAATGATGGCCTATCAATCAGTATGAAAAACGCCAGTCACCATTTAACTCAAGATAAATTGTATTGCTGACATGGTCTTTGTATCGACCATAGAACAAGCGAAATGATGACTTTAAAAACAAGAGGCCCAGGGGCCACAGCGCTCAGCTGAGCAAACCGGCTAGGAAAATGCACATATCAGACCAGAACTGAAAGTTTACTGAGGTTGGAGGGGGGGGGGGCTCCCCCCCCCCCAGGGGGTCATGATTTGAACAAACTAGAATCTACAATACCTGAGGATGATTCCATATAAATATCACTAATCATGGCTTTGAAGTTCTTGAAATGAAGATTTTTAAAGATTTCCCTATTTATTCCTATGAAAAACTTTGATAAACCATTTCGGCCCCACCCTACCCCCAGGGGTCATGATTTGAACAAACTTGAATCTACACTACCTGAGGATAATTTCACATGAGTTTCATCTTTCCTGTCTCAATGGTTCTTGAGAAGAAGATTTTTCCTATATATTCCTATGTAAAACTTTGATCGGCCATTTTGGCCCCACCCTACCCCTGGGGGTCATGATTTGAACAAACTTGAATCTTCACTACCTCAGGATGATTCCACATTAGTTTCATCTTTCCTGGCCCGGTGGTTCTCGAGAAGAAGATTTTTAAAGATTTTTCCTATATATTTCTATGTAAAACCTTGATCGGCCATTATGGCTCCACCATAGCCCCGGGGGTCATGATTTGAACAAATTTGAATCTACACTACCTGAGGATAATTTCACCTGAGTTTCACCTTTCCTGTCTCAATGGTTCTTGAGAAGAAGATTTTTAAAGATTTTTCCTATATATTCCTATGTAAAACTTTGATCGGCCATTTTGGACCCACCTAGCCCCGGGGGTCATCATTTGAACAAACTTGAATCTACAATACTTGAGCATGATTCCACATTAGTTTCATCTTTCCTGGCCCTGTGGTTCTTGTGAAGAAAATTTTAAAAGATATTTCCAATATATTTCTATGTAAAACTTTGATCGTCCATTATGGCCCCACCCTAGCCCCGGGGGTCATGATTTGAAGACACTTGAATCTACACTACCTGAGGATAATTTCACATGAGTTTCATCTCTCCTGTCTCAATGGTTCTTGAGAAGAAGATTTTTAAAGATTTTTCCTATTATTCCTATGTAAAACTTTGATCGGCCATTTTGGCCCCACCCTACCCCTGAGGGTCATAATTCGAACAAACTTGAATCTTCACTACCTCAGGATGATTCCACATTAGTTTCATCTTTCCTGGCCCGGTGGTTCTTGAAAAGAAGATTTTTAAAGATTTTTCCTATATATTCCTATGTAAAACTTTGATCGGCCATTTTGGCCCCACCCTAGCCCCGGGGGTCATGATTTGAACAAACTTGAATCTACACTACCTGAGGATGATTCCACATGAGTTTCATCTTTCCTGGCCCAGTGGTTCCTGAGAAGAAGATTTTTAAAGATTTTTCCTATACACTCCTATGTAAAACTTTGATCGGCCATTTTGGCCCCACCCTAGCCCCGGGGGTCATGATTTGAACAAACTTGAATTTACACTACCTGAGGATGATTCTACATGAGCTTCATCTTTCCTGGCCCAGTGGTTCTTGAGAAGATTCTTTTAAAATGCCATTAATTTTTCTTTAATCCATAATTATCTCCCCTTGGAAAAGGGCGTGGCCCTTCATTTGAACAAACTTGAATCCCCTTTACCCAAGGATACTTTGTAGCAAGTTTGGTTGAAATTGGCCCATTGGTTCTTGAGAAGAAGATGAACATGTGAAAAGTTTACGACGACGACAACGACGACAGACAACGGACAAATTTTGATAAGAAAAGCTCACTTGAGCCTTCGGCTCAGGTGAGCTAAAAAGGGGAACCCGGTAGGGGACATATATTGCTTATGCAATACTCTGAGAATGCGTTTTAAGTAAAATATCTAAATATGAGACAGATGTGTCAGACTCTGTGGTATTTTTCATCCCAAGTTCACCGGGATATATCTCAAACAACTCCCTTCAGCTGAATATAGAATACAGAAAGAAAAAAAATGATTGTAAAATAGTTTCTAGATTTTATGCAATATTGCAGTTTCTATTGTACATACCTTCAAAATTTATAAGAGTGTTTAGGCTGTTTAAAATTAATTCTATGTTTAACGTCACCCGCGCGCGTAGGTTTTGGAGAAAATCGTCTTTGAAAAAAAACAAACAATTCCGTATTTCCGTTCCGGTTTGGTTCTACATTTAGCGACTCAATTCTGCATCCCGTAGTGACAGAAAATGTGCTTAGATGCCTCAGTAGATGGTGTTTGTGTTTTATTAAATGAAAAGGAGTGAATTAAACAGTATGGGATCATAAATGTAAGTAAAAAATTGATGTTTTTATTATTGAAGTTAATGACAAAGTCTAGTTTGTTGATTTTTATTTTGTCAGTCTTCGAATCACATATACCATGTGTACAGACTGTGACAATGACAGACTCAGTTCGTGATTATTTTGGCTGTACTTTTCATCGTATTTTGGAGAGAATTGCAGAGCTTTTAACTTAGTGCAAGATGTGTAAAAAAAAAATTATTTACAGTGAGATGCATCATTTAAATTTTATCAAATACTTTCATATTAAATATTTGTAAAAATTTGAAGGAACAGTAATGAGTAAGATTGATTTCTTCATAATTCAAGTACCTGTAAATACCTACATGTTTTTGGAAAGATAATACTAGTCTTTGCCATTTGAGCAGGGAGAAGCTTACAGAAGATAAAGCCTTTCAAGTGAAAGAGAGTAAGGAAATTGGTTGGGGTATTTTAAGAAGTGAAGAACCCTGTCCTGTGTGTGCAATTCAAGGTATTTAGAATAAACTACATGTAATACACTTTCAAATCTATTTTCAAATAGATCTAGTACTGTGAGAAAAAAATACAACATAATTCAATTTCAAGATATTTCAATATAAGAATGTATTAAATATTGTCATCAAATTTTTATTGTAGATATTGATCAACTATTCCCGCAAGAAGAACCTTTTCCTTACAGGTTACCATTGATGTGAGGCAATATAAATCCAAAGTACAAGCAAGGCCTAGTTAAAAGCCACTTTCCTGCACATTCAGTCTACATTGTTTGCTCACAAAAGGACTCAAACCAATTAACATTCTAAGGAAAAACTCTGCTAGGGAAATTTAAACTTAGGTGTTACATCCAATACTCTTACTACTCAATTCTAGTGTTTTTAAATGTACTGAAATGGTTTATTTGAATAAATTCATAATTGTTTGAAATTTTTGTTTGTTTATTTTTTTCCTCCCTCCCTCGTAGGTTTTGAACTTTAGATGTGACGTTAAACGTAGAATTAACTTTGAACACCCTTATCATACATGCATTTAATGCAGATACATTGGTATTCAAAATTTTTCGTTCATTTCATTCTTGTTTTCTTTTACTTCAAGGTCGTACTCGATTCGTCGTAACTTTGGAAGGGAAGTTAAAAATCTGAAAAATTGTAAAATACTTTTTAATCAAAATAGTATACTAATTGATGATTAATCTGACTTACTTGCAACATTGATTATCATATTGCCAATAAATGTAATTAATACATGTATATAATACTGACTGCAAAGGATACACTGCAAGTACATGTAATTAATATCGTACCCAAACTTGTTAATTAACCACATTTGTTGCATATCGTACAGTGGTCAGATCAGAAAGTATATGTCTTTGGGATTATTTCTTAACATACTTACAAGGAAAGAATCAATGAAATGAAAAACAACCCAGCCAACACAAGGAATAATGTTCCCTCGAAAAAGTACACAGTGTTTCTATATAGAGCGCTGGAGATCAGCGACCCAAAGAAAGTGCAAGCGGTCTGAACAGCAGCCATTCCACCAAAAAGGGCACCTGCAATATATCAACACCATAAGAATGGATAAAAATTTCAGAAACATTTTCTGTTCAAACTATAGTTAGATGCATTTTTATTCTTTTTCTGTGAAATCATTTTGAGACCAATTTCGAACTTTCTCTGTGATATTAAATTATACATTTAATCAGATCGATTTTATGAAGGATTGTCCCGAGATCGAGCAAAAATGAATCTCAGCTGCGATTAGGGGTTCCATTCTTATGAAGACAAATATGCTTGTGAGTGATTTTCAATGCCATAAGAGAAAAGCTATATTTATAAAGATGCCCAAAACTCGACAGGTAATGATGAGGGTGAAGATAACGAAAATGATATATATTGAAAACATTTTTAACAATACAAATCCGTGAAGGGGGCATAAACACGGGACCCTGGAATTTCTGAAGGTTGGATACGGTGAATATGAGGATTATTTATTCTTTTCATTTCTATGATGGAAGGGTCATTCATGACACAAAACATATAGTTAAACTTTTTTCAAATGTTGTTTTAAAAAAAAATACCCCATGCTTACTAAGAATATAAAAACATGTTTTAATGGCAATTATAATGTATACCAACTAAACTAAGTTAAAAGTCTTTGCAGGAAATTTCTTTTCAATGCCTTTTAGGGTAAAGACACTACGATCCCTTGAACGCTTTTGAAACTCATGGAAGATATCTAAATAGTCCTCAATTTATCAGAAATATGGCTGACGCGGTGCTTACTTTTATAAAATGTAATTAGTTTGTAGAGTAGGGGCATAGGCTTATGTCCTCTACAAAAAGTTTTAATTGATTAATATTATTACATAATTTTAAATTTTTGTAGTGGGCACACCGACAGTTAAATTTTTGTAGAGAGAGTTGGTGTCTTCGGATTCTCCTTCTTGGTATTACCTGTGTTTTATTGATGCATTTAGCAGAGTAAAACATTTACTAAAATGGTTTCAATTACAAATATTTCTTACAGTTTCGTTTCGGTTCATATCCACATGGTCTACTATAGATTGTTGAATGTAATTAATATATCAAGCAGTTAATTTAATAACACACAGGAAAAATTATTAAGGTCAAAATGTAATCAATTAATTTACAATAATTCGATAGAATATTTATCGTGAAAGTGATAACATATTCTACTCAATAAGTTTTCAAGTGTATGCTATCATAATTAAAGGGCGATAATTAATAACTCAGTGCATGTGATACATGTATGGATAATCAAGAGAAATCCGAGAGTCTATATGGCTTGTTGATATTAAGACTGAGAGATTGTTTAAAGTGACGCATTGTGTCAGAATCATGTTTATTTACGATATATGTATCATGCAGTGAAAGACTTTTGATAATTATGAGGATATAGTTAATGTAAGACAATTAAGACAATTTTAATGGTTAAAAGTACAAAAATTGATTTCATTTTCTTTAAAAAAGTTTAAATTTACCAATTATTTCAAAAAATGTATAGGTCGCCATATTATTTAAGATTGGAGACGTAAATAAACAGAAGCATATGTCAACAAAAAAATCGTACATTTGTTTGTAAATAGTATCATAAGTATTATGTAAAAACTGAGTCAAATGCATTTATTATTATGATGCTGAAAGTTCCTAAATACTTGCTACATGTAAGATCTTTTGAATTGTGAATATCAGGAAAACTATTTTACATTAGAAGTACAATAAGGAAAATGCCTGAATGAAGCTACCCGAGCAGGAGTTATTGCCCTTGTCAACATTTTTTGAAGATTCAATAATTGATTAAATAAAGGAAATATGCATTTTTAAGAATTCTTTTACTTAACAATATATATCATTTCACCTACAGAAAATCAATCTTCCAAAATATATTGTTCTATTGGGTATGAATTTAATTCAATAACATTTTTTGCTAAAACCTATGACATCACAGGACGGTGGAATTACCTTAAACTGCAAAAAAAAAACTGCACAGATTAGGTGACGGGAAAACAAAGGTTTTACCTACCGTTTCGTTGTTTTCGTGTATGTCAAGGTCTTGCCACTTTTATTTTTAGCTCAAACTTTTAAACAACATTCAACTGGAGCATGCAAAGGTGAGAAATATGTTGTAACAACATTTTAAAAAGATTTCATGAAAATTTTTGGTCTACTTACATTCATTCCTGGGAATTTGAGACCATTGTAACAAGGAAACTTATTCAACTTTTCTGCGAATGCGTACAATACTGTAAGGGAGAAGTATTTAGCAATATTTTCGTTATGGGGCATACTGAAACTATTTTTACTTGTTCTCCATAGAAATAGAACTTTTAGGTTCTGAAACCTGTAATTTTCTGAAACCTATCACATTTAGGAACTGAACAAAATTTACACGGATCATGCTAAAATTCTACATTTGTCAATTTTCCCCTATGTGCGTCACGGTGTCTCTTCATTTTTTTCTATTAAATAGATTAATTTGTTGAGTGGAAGGTATACATGTGCTTTTATGTTTATGGGAGACATTCAGACTTCAACAAACCAGTTGGATTCAGGAGACAGGGAGCTGCCCCTAATATGAAGAATATTCCTCTGCTGTAATTTTGATACTAGAATGGTAAATTTCATACGGGTTCTACCCCCTCCCTTTAACCGTTTTTTAGCTCCTCGGTCGAGAAATAGCAAATAAACTAAAAAGTTAGACTAAGTTTGCGACACCATCGAGTAATAAAATCTTACAGTTCAAACAACTAAAGAGGTCTTTTAAAGGGGTGATGGGGTGTTGCTTGAAGTTGCACAGTTGCATTATTTTTTACACCTGCTTTTACCTTGGTTCTCGCTAGAAGTCTCTCTCGACATAACGGCCCTCATCATGACAATCCCGAGACTCATTCCCATTCCTATCACCGGAGCTGAATAGATGCAAGAAAAACGTACAAGATTTCTTAAAATTCCACGATATATTTTTTTTTTATGCATAAAAAAACCATATCTTAACCAAGGTGGACAACATGATCAGAACTTTTTATGTTGATTTTACATACTCAATTGAAAATATATTTTAATGTAAATGTTCCTATTTTTACTCATACAGTCAATTTTAATTAGGATGTCCCTGAACCATTGATTAAATAAAATTAAAACATGCCGATTCGGACCATTTTAGGTACATGTAGTTTATCGGCAGATGGGAAACTAACAATTTATTAAAGATGCCATTGGCATTTATTTCAAGACCTATATTCATTTGTACGTTTCCCTACCAAATAATCTACCTCATGATTACTAGTATTTTAAACCAACGAGCGTTTTGCTATAATGTATTTCATTTCGAGAAATTAAACAATGAGAAAAATAATAAAAATGAAAAATGAGTACATGTAATCAGGGAAAAAATATTGCTAAACAACTTACTTAAAAACAACACTACTGTCGAACTCGTCAGCCCCTCGGCAATCAAACTGATAGTTCCTGATACAGCCCCGAGTACTGCAATAGTCTCTGCCCTCAAGCATATCACGAAAACTCGAATAAGAATCATTGATATTCCATGCTGCATCACACCTCTGAGGGCGTGAAACCACCCTACGTCAACAGTACTGAGACAAAATGGAGGACTTATTACGTAAAGAACTTCCGTTTGGTTCCTGCCTATTATAGCTATACATCCTATCATATAGATAAAAAGGCAAATGTTATATTTCAAACGCATTCCAGAATACTTTTTTGAGTAATAGAATTCGAGGGATTTGTGGAACGATCTTACAACACTCATACAGTGCCATGGTTCTTTGATTTTTCTTTGACGTGTTTCCGGAAGTAAGCATATTAAAACTATATTGCTCAATGTTAAGGGAAAAGCAGTAGCCATTGACCATAAATACCCTCGATCTCGTATTACATAACCAGCTACTACACCTCCAACCAAAAGTCCCATCCCGATAAAAATTTCCATAAAACCCATGGCGGTTGTTCTTTTTTTGCTGTTTCCTGAGATATCGGATGTGTAGGATAAAGCAAATTGTATATTAGCAAACGCCTCTCCACTGAAACCATGCAATATCAATGGTATTAAAAGATAGTAAAGCTTTAATTCAAAATACATGAATATAACCATAAAAACCTCCGCCAATAGCATTCCTAAAGTTGGAATAATCAACATCTTTTTCCTTCCCACGCGATCGCTAATACTTCCAAATACCAAATTTGAAAGAAGACAAGGAATCCCTTCACAAATAGCAAGGTACATCAAGAACATTGCAACTTTGGACTGGATGATTTTACCATGCTCTGTTTCTGATGCGTTTAAATTGCTACTGCACACTGAACTCTTTCCGTTCTCTGTAGAAGAGTTAGAAAATAAAGTTTTGCCCACAATATAAGGGTAGTAAAGGATAGCCGTGCCATTAAATATGGAAAACCCAAACAAATGCATAAAAGCGATTGGTCCTATTAGATATTTTCTTCTCGATAATTTATCAGGATTGTTGTCACGGCTTGAAGAGTCCTCCATTTTCGCTGTGGTTTTGTTATTATTATTGTTCTTCATATTCTTCTCTTATCTGCAATTCTTCAAAATGTCTACAAATAAAACGTCATGTACTTGAATTTTTTTAATAGAGATGCGTCATCATTCGTTTATTTAGTGGGCTTAAATAAAGGTTATTATTAAAACATTCTTTAATGATCAATCGTACGTTAATACGTGAAATTACATGAACATTCAACTTATTAAAACTAAAGGCATTTTTTAACTTCGTCCATAATTTCTCAAAGAAAAAAAATTAATTGGTTAAATGCATTTGATATTGTATAAGGATTTTAATGTGTAAATATTAAGAGTAAAACTTAATGCATATATTTGCGTGAGAATACATCTTAATTTCAAAGAAATTAAAGTTAATATGTAGATATCACTAGTAATGTTCATACTATACATGTAGATAGTTCTTGTGGTTCCTGCTTAAATTAAGGTATCCGACCCATAAAAGAATCAAATTTTCTATCCATAAAATTATTATTATGAATTACACTGATTTTATTTCAAAGAAAGAAATTACATGTAACCAGGAGAATTTTTAATAAAAAATAAATACCGAAATAGTAATTAATCATTGAAGTTTGCATTGAAGTGTAAGTAAAGAAAGATAGCTAATCAAAGCTTGTGAATCTGATCCCCTTCTTGTTTGTTAAATTGTTCACATTTATACCGTCATTTTAATAAATGACATTATTCATCTCTATGAAAGTGTTTTATTTGACTTATACAAAATCAGCAAAAACAAGCTGCGGTGAGCTTGCCTATAAGCATAAGAATACATAAAGAAAGATATTGTAAATAGAACAATTAGATACTAAGAATAGCAAAAAGTGTTGTGGTAGAAAGATGAAATTGATCATTTGGAATGGAAAAATGATTGAAAAATATTTTTTCCTTTCAGATTTTTCGGACTTGATTTTTATTGATGTAAGTCAAAGGGGGGATAACTCTTAAAGGACACTACAAGGTCATAAAAGAGGGCAAGTTTTGCTCTTACAAACATATTTTTGAAAAGTATGAAATTATGCCTACATATACTGAGCATTCAGTCCATATATATCTGTAGCCTTTTTTACAAAAACTCTCACGACTAAGATTAAATAATTCTATGAGATTTTGCTTAAAAGAAATATTCATTTTTTTCTAAGATGGTATTTACCATATTATCTAAAGTAATGGAAAAGTAAGAGATTATGTAATCTTCCACAGCGTAGATACTCATTTGAAATATTGGACTTTTTGTCTTTGTCGTAATCTTTTCTTTTTTTGTGTGTGTGTAAAGGACCACTATTATGCATTCAATTCTCTTGGAACTAAAGCTAATAAAAGTAAGGATAACTTAATTTTATTTGCAAAATGTTTAGGCTGTGAATTTTTGTTAGTGTCATCAATTTACCTTGTACTCTCTTTCTCTAACTTAAAATTAGCAATAATCACATTTCAAACATAACAGAAAATATTATACTAATAGCACATACTTACTTAAAATTCAAATCTCTTTTCAAGATCAGATGAAAACAATCTAGATAAGACAGAAATTAACCTTCATTTATTCCATTTCTATCTGTTTTCTCTGTGACGACTCTTTGAAAGTTACGTATATTTCTAGATAATTCAATCGGAATGTAAATTTCGCAAAGCAAAAGGAAAGGAGCAATATACATGTAAGGAGGCCTAATATGCATACATGTAAATCTCGTGCGGCTAACTGTACTTGTGCCTGACGTCAGTGGGCTGATGAAATAGACATTGGAGGCCTCGTGTAATTTAAATCTATAAAAAGATTGTTTTAAATCTAAATTTACAATCTTATTTCACAATAAAATGTAATTATAAGGAATCACTGTCAATTTTTAGGGGTATGCCAGGGACATCATATGCAACGATAATTGGAAACGTGGCCATGGGATAAAGCCACTTTCATTACTCCTCACTATGATATTTACAGGAGTGAAGGAGAAAATTCAAGAGTTCTGTGCAACTTTATATACTAGAGTAAGGGGACGACCATTTGATTCTGAGGGGGGGGGGGGCCTGGCAGATTTTGGAAATAAATAATCTGTCCCTGAAAATGTTGAAAATAAATAATCTGTCCTCCACCACAGAGAAAATAAATAATCTGACCATGACTTCTGATAATTAAATATTGTAAAAATACCTTTTTTATTCACGTGTAAATTAATCTCAAAAGTCTTCAATTCAAAATTTTTTTTGGCTCGCTTCGCTCGCCATTTTAGAACCAAATAGTATTTAAAATCAGATTACCAGACTGGATACTTTTCAAACCAATTCTTATACACCATAAAAGATAAATTTTGTTGTCGAATAATTATATTTTCCAGATAAATTAATACAAAATATACACTGGCAGATTTAAGGGGGACGTACATGTGTACGACCCCAGGCCCTCCCTTAAAATTTCAAAGTATATGATACGAATAATAATAATAATGCCATACTTTGGGACAATACCAATATTTTTTTGCCTAGTTTTACTCTTAAAATACACAAAAACCCAAGAGCTCCAGGGGGCTTCGCCCCCTCAGCCCTTTTCATTCAAAGTATGATATGACTTAATAATGTTATACTTTGGTACACATCTAACCAATTCCTACAAAAATTTTACTCTTATACATATTGAAAAACCTAAGAGCTTCAGGTGGCTTTGCTCCCTGAACTTACTTCATTCAAAGTACGGTATCACCAGTATTAATTATGTCATACTTTGGTTCATAATAACCAATACCACTATAATAGTGCCTGATTTTAATCTTAAAATACACGAAACCCCAAGAGCTTCGGGGGTAGGGGGGTGTACTCCCTTGGCCTCCACCAGGGCTTCGTCCAGGACCCACTGGGGCCCTTACGGCGGCCCCAGACCTCTTGCCTAAACAGTTATATCTGTCCCCTCCCCAAATCCTGTATCCGAATATGGTATATAAATAATAAAGTCTTTTAGAATCAATTGATCAAGGTACGGTAATACATAGAAGAAAATAAATAATCTGTCCTTGATAATCTTGAAAATAAATAATCTGTCCTCGACAGGCATGAAAATAAATAATCCGTCTCAAAAAAATTTGCCACCCCCCCCCCCCCCCCCCCCCCTCAGGATCAAATGGTCGTCCCCTAATGTAAATCTTATCAGATGTGGATACCGGTATTTAAAAAATCAATTGAACTTAAAAACTTCAACAGCTTAAAAACTTAAGATTTTTCATTTTTATATACAACCATTCCCCACGATAAATTGAACTCAAGGCTTTTTGATATCATTGACAGCCTCTTTTTTCAATAAAAATGGAACTCGTAAATTTATTTATCTTGTCATTGCACAATTTTTGTGCTCTAACATTCTACCGGTCGGCAGGGGATGCTCACTCCTCCATGGCACCTGATTCCACCTCTGATGTTTTGAGGTCCATATTTACCTTGCTCCTATTTTGTATTGTTTATGGATTTTTCAGCTTGAATACTATTCGTTATTTACTATGTTGCACTAATTAAAAACCAGCGTCGCCCATTAGGCAAATTATCCTACGTTGTCAACTTTCGTTGATGCCCTTGCATACCCAACAAACTAAATAGCGATTCCTTAAAAATACTTCAAATGTTATCACACCGATATATAAAGTTACCTTAACCAACAGTTTATATTGACTGAAGCCTGATTAAGTTATGGTTATCTACTGATATAAAAAGTTACCTTAACCAACAGTTTATACTGACTGAAGCCTGATTAAGTAATGGTAATCTACTGGCTAAAGAAATGTTCTGCCCTACATGTATCTCTGCTGCACCTGCCCCTGGCAAAATTAAATATGGATTTTTTTGGTCGAGGTAAACGATGCACAAAACAAAGTGTATAATGTTGTTTAACGAATTCTTTTATGACCCCATATGTTTTTCTAACTACTTTCTAATTGACATTTGATTCTCAATTTGCCCCAAAACACACTTCCGACTGGCAGTCAAATGAGAAAGAAAATGACATTTGCATTTTAGCTGGCAAAAGTTCAATTATGTGGATTTGAAATATAAAGTAATGTTAGAGAATTGCTGTTATTTAGTCAATACGATTATTTATCTATCTAATAAGTTCAAGATTGACTGAAAATGCAGCTATAAATGTTTTATTAGAAGATTCAATGAATAAATGATACAGACTTATTAAGCAGTTCATGTCATCTTGTTTACTTGTGCTGAATTCCTTATAATTACCTAGTGGGAAACCCATTCTTTTCGTTTCTTTTACCTTTGGTTTGTTTATTTATTGTTTAACGTCCATCTCGAGAATTTTCTGCTCACATGGAGACATCGCGGGTGCGAATCTCACTGCGAAATGGCGAGACTAGTCTTTCGGACGAGACCCTTGTAAACCGAAATCCTCTGTTGCAATAGGCGCTGACTCGGAAAAACAATTCTTACTGCTCAAAGGCTATGACATGTATGAGTGCATCTGCAACCCTCCACTGGCAAATACTGGTGTCTCAATATGAGTGGGAAAGTTCTCGGAGGGACGTTAGATAAACGAACAATTTAAAAAATTTACTTTGTGAAATCACTATACATACACATGTACTATTAAATGAGTAGATAAATATCAAAATGATATGATACATGTATATCAAAATGCTACTGATAATTAAATGATAAAGGAAAAAGAACATGCTTAAAATGTACATGTCAACAAATATGAATATGTAAACATTTTACGTATTAATTTCATTTTGTAGTAGATCCAAAAGCATATATGGTATTTTAAAAGATAAAGTTGTTACTTTTAAGCTTCTGACATTTCTAACCTTTTTGTTTTTTAAAAAAAATGAATCAATTCTAAAATAAAAACCTCAAAACTTAATAGTTAAAAACTATGAAAATGAATACAAAAGGAAATATTATAATTAATTGTGTGAATGGTATACTTGCCTGTGTGTTTTTGCTGTGTTCAGATGAATGTTCGACAAAATGACCTGATATGACTCAAATATAGGTTACGGATTGTTTATTTAAGAAAAAGGGAGTTTGTACCAAAGTTTTGTAGATACGATGTACATAACACGTTCCCTCTCCATGTGACTGACAAATTTAACTTAAAGAAATTAAAAATTGACAAATTTAACTTAAAGAAATTAAAAATTATCGTTCTTGAAAAGAAATTGTGGAGGAGTAAATGAGAGGTAAAATGCATGTAAAGCATGTATGTTTCAGCAAACTTATCCCGCCTTTGTGACAGTAATAGCTAATCAATTTGTCGCAGAGCACATAATGAAACAATTAAATATAGTATATAAAAATTGAAGTATTTGATATTCTTTAAGACGAGGATTTTTATGTCCCGCCATAAAATGACCGGGGTCATAAAGTGCTTTCTTATTCGTTGACTTCTCGTTCATTACCTATGCATAATATATATATATCATGTTATAATTTTTAACAATTGCACACATTCAAATTTGACCTTTCTTGAAATTGAAGCAGTTTCCGCTCTCGAACTTTTATAGAAATGAATGTACAAGATGAAAATTGCATGTACTTGTAGCCAGATCAATCCAGTTTATTCCTTTTTTACGAAGTTATACCCCCTTTACTTGGTGAAGATTTTTAAAAAAAACAAACATTCTGAGAGTATTACATTAGCAATACATGTCTCCTGCCGGGATCCCCTATTCTCTTTAGGATGTCCTTCAGTAAAAACAAACATTCTGAGAGTATTACATTAGCAATACATGTCTCCTGCCGGGATCCCCTATTCTCTTTAGGATGTCATTTTATAATATTCTGTATAAAAAAGTGCCCCCAAACTGTGAATACTTCGATATGTACTTGTTTATGAATGAAATATCAGAAAAACATGTTTGAATGCTATTAAACATTACATCAGGTCAGTTCACTTGGTTAAAAAAATATTTTATATATTTAAAAAAAATCAAACTTGATCTATGGTTTGTCAGTTAGTTAGAATGATCTAACTGTGTCTCTGGACAAGCCCTCACCACAGTTAGAATTATTGTAGTCAAAGAGTACCTAGCTAACCGGTTAACCCTCGAACAATGCGAGTATCGGTTAGTAAAACTGTTATTCGGTAAAGTGGGATAAAAATACATTTTAGATACTTAATAACTAAGATAATACATGTTACCGTGTAAGTGGAAATTTTAGCGAGACGCAAATTTAGCGATTTGTCCTAAAAATGGTTATACATTTATTATTTTAGCGAGAAATAATTTTAGCGATATAAAAAGACTCCTTAAAGAAGTCATTACAACTGTCATGTTCTAATTTTTGAACTCCCACCTGGTAGATTCAAAATTTAGAACATGACACAACTATAACGCAATTAATTTTTAGCGATCTCAGCACTCTCGCAAATAATGCCAAAATTAAATCCTCGCTAAAAATTCTACTTATACGGTATATAATTGTTTATTTTAAGCGTATACATACATATATTCCTAATTTTCTTTTCTGTTAGACTTAATCTTGTGGTTAAAAAAACGACTGATTTGTTTAAATTATAGTTTTTACAGTTAATTGATAGCTTTTTTTGTCAGGGCACAGGCACCTGACGTTACTTATTTTTCTTTTAATAAAAAAAATATACCCACAACTGCTACTAGTAAGGTACATGTACCCATCTTGGATTTTCGAAGTCTGTCATTCACTTGTATGTTCTAACTCTGTGATAGTTCCCAATGTCAACATGGTTTATAAATTATACGAAGCAAGAAAAAGACGTTGAGAAAATGAGTTGAAAAGTCGTCTTCTTGCGAGATTTTTTTAAGGTCATAAGCAAACACAGTTTCAAAAAGGTTTGTTGTAATTAATTTGGTAGTTATTTTCAATGTAAATCTTTTGGTGTTCTAGATTAATCGTTTTGGTGCGATTCTCATTCTGAATTTGTTTGCTACATTGCGAGTGAAAGGAATGCATTCTAACTAATGTTCTCAAATTGGACGATTATAGTAACCGGTTATTCGCTATATCTTCCGATCGAGTACTCGGTTACTCTGGTGATTTATCGTTATAGTTCCATATCTTTTTATTTAAAGCATCCTTTACACAATGGAAGTAATAAAACATATAATTATACTCTATATAAACTTTATTCATAAACTTAGAAATACACACACGCTTAATATTCAAAGAATTTTAATTTTAGAATAAAGAAAATTAAATCAACACATGAAGATGATTGATTGATTGTATATTGTTTAACGTCCCTCTCGAGAATTTTTCACTTATATGGAGACGTCACCGTATGCCGGTGAAGGGCTTCAAATTTAGACCTATACTCGGCACTCAGGGCCATTGAGCAGTGAGGGTTCTTTATCGTGCCAGCGCCTACCGTGACACGGGACCTACGTTTTTAAGGTCATATCCGAAAGACCCGTGACTTTCTCTTCTGATGCCGAGCGTTTGGCGAAGGAACAGTCACTACCTATTTTTACGTCTTAGGTTTGACGCGACGCCGCGAACGAGAATCGAACCCGGGCCTCCCGATCACGAAGCGAACGCTCTACCACTAGGCTACCGTGAACGGTCATAAATTGGGAAGAAGAATCCTTCCTACGTTTTTAAGGTCATATCCGAAAGACCCGTGACTTTCACTTTAAGGTATACCTTTACTCAGATGACCAAAAATTCCACTGATAAGAACGAAAAACTACCTATTGCACATTGTACACCAATGATTCTTGTGTTAAATTTCAATTTCAAATAACTAAGTCAATGACCTACTTTTCATGCTAGTGGCCCCTGAGTATTTCTCGGGAAATACCTCAATTTTTCACACTATGACCAATTTTTTCTATGCATACAAAATATTACCAGCAACTAAACTCTTTAAATAATGAAATATTATAGCAATGGAACAGCGTTGCTTCATATAAAGAAATGATTGGAGTTTGGGCCAGAAATGTGATAATTATAACAGTCCGAATTTCCTCTGTCATATTTATATTTTTTCCCCATTTTAAATCGAATATATCAAAAATCTGACTGATAAGAACTCTAAACTATCTATAGCCTCAGATTACCTTTGATGCCCTTATTCTCATGGTATTAATATTATATGGGGTCGATGATCAAATTATTGAGATATATTGTCTGGAATGGTTTTTGTACATATTTTTGAATTTCTTTATTTCTTAGCATTCAATCATTTGAAATAATTTATGAGCTTTAACACATATAATATTTGCAAAATGATGTTTAAAAATACATTTAACCTTTACTTCGTGATTATTATTGAAAGAAATCAAAATTTTTGACAAAAATGAAAAATTAAAAATTTAGTCCGAATTTCCTCTGCATTACCATACTTTGACTTTTGTACCTGTATATTTTCTTTAAATAATAAAATATTAAATTTTTATATTGATTTCGATTTAAAACTTGCTTATTTTATCCATTTAGAACAATTTTTGATTTAACATATTATACTTTATAAAATTTCCTTTCTGTTATCTGAAACCTGAGTAAACGTCATCCTTAAGTGCCGAACGCTTGGCGAAGGAACAGTCACTACCTTTGTTTACGTCTTAGGTATGACGCGGCGCCGCGAACGAGAATCGAACCCGGGCCTAATATTTGTAGAGTAAGTAATACTGGGTGCTGTATAAAATTAACAAACAAGAGGCCCATGGGCCACATCGCTCACCTGAGTAACTTGGGTGATGCAGATCTTTTTAAAAGATTTGTTCTATATATATTTCTATGTAAAACTTGGATTCCCCATTGTGGCCCCGCCCTTACCCGGGGGTCATGATTTTAACAATTTAATATTTACACTACCAATGGA